GTTATCATCCAGCGATGCAATTCCATTGTATTGTTATTATTTTATGCTTACTATTTTGTGATTAAGATATTTTTGTTAAACACACAGTGTCCTAGCCAAACAGCAGAACTGTAAATTTTCGTTTCTTTAATATTATACGCCTTTATGTTTCTCCAACAACAAGTATATTGCTGAACATACACTTTTGTATACGTTCCCATAATTTATTGAAACTTTCACTATCAACTTCTTAATTAAGATTTTAATGTTACAAACATTATTGTACGAGAAATACATTTTAAAATCTTTAAATGTAAAAAAAAAAATTAAAACAAATAAATTAAACTTAATTTACTAATTAAATAAAATAGTGAAATTTGAAGAAAAAAAACTAATTAAATTAATTTTTACGCTGGGCACTCAGAGAACAAAATTAAAATAAGTGATACATTTAAAAATGTTTTTAATATTTTGTTCACCATATAAAATAAACTTAAAAAACTATTTCAAATTAATGTTTATGAACGCATTCGACATTCGTAAATGAAGTTTAGTATATATTTTCAAGTAATTGATTTCTTGCTTACATAGATATTGAGCTAAATTGTTTCAAATAATTTAATTCCATATCCGTCTACACATCGAATAATATCTTAATAAGTAAAATATAATTTATAGAATCAATATTATATTAGCGTTTGGTGTTTTAACATTTAATTATTTATAATTTACAATTACGTCCGAAGGTCTTAATCAGTAATAATACATGATATAACATTTAAATGATATACATAAGATGTTGTACAATAGTAAAACAGACGTATAAATACATAAAGTTTTACGTTGTGCTATTGCATGCAAAATCGTTCAGTTCGTATTTTAACAGTGAGATGTAATTTTAATTTGTTAGGTAAAGTAAATTAAAGAAATTAATTTTGTTTAACAGTAAGTATTTCTGCTTCTTAATCTTCTGGATTAAGGAAATTAATGAGTCGTTAGAAATAACTTTTCGGATCAGCTTAATGTTTTAATTCTGACTCTTCAGACTTAAGATATTTTTTTAGTGTTAAAGTTTTCTTTAAGTTTAGTTATAAAATCTTATTAGATTAATATCAGTTGCATGCATATAAAAACATGATGATAAAATATAATAATACAGTAAAACTCGCTTAAGACGCTCTTTAAGGGACCAGCTCTCTAGAACGTTTTAAGCGGGAAAATGTCTTATGCGGGATTGGAAAAAAATGAAGTGATTGAAATGTGGAGTTAATTTTTTTATTATTGATCATAATTTAACAAAATAAACACTAATAAATTATATATGTATATTTAATTAAATACATGTGTACATATATTTTTTGCTACTGAATTTAATTAAAAAAAAATTATTATTAAATATTTTATTATTGTTTATTTAAAAATTGACATATTTCTGTTTGTTTACGATGCTGACAATGCGTCTCAGCAAGAAAGTTTTCTATTTTGTTGAGACAATCCAACATTTCTTCAAAATTTTCTATAGAGGATAATACTTTTCGAATTTCTGTTAGGTGTTGCAACCCAGCAGTAATTGCAGGAGTAGATACTGGATAATAATAATAGCTGATGATAAAATATGTATAGTGATAAAATAAAACGATACAACAATAAGAACACGTAAACAAGTAAAATGTCTATTTTTATTTTGACAAACCTACTAAAATTTATCATAATCTGCTAAACAAAAGAGCGTTTTATCCAATAAGATAGAGAAAAACCGAGCGTCTTAACAGATGGTTTTTAAATTGACTAATATAGGAAATGTCTAGGAACCCGTCGGAAAATAGCGTCTTATGCGGGAAAACGTCTTAAGCGGGAGCGTTTTAAGCGAGTTTTACTGTATTAGTTCCATAACATCTTACATACAAATAAGAACTATTATTATTTTCCAGAGATAAAATTAAATAAAATGTTCTTTATATTAATTATAATTTATATTATTTGACGTAAAAGTAAATGAAGCGAAGATGAAATAAAAATATTTTAAGCTAATAGATATTAGTATCATTAATGAGTGTTAGTGTTACATAAATGTAGGTACTTAAATATTTTTAGGCAGGTAAATTCGATCGAACACTTTACGATATTCTTTGAAACTTTGAAATCTTTGAAGCATTGTTGCTACAAAAGAAATAAATAAAAAATGTATTTATTTTGTTAAGGTATTATGTATATGACTGACTATCGTTAGTTTAGCGTAATGTTAAAATTGATATTTTAATTATGATAGTGTGATATGTTTTAACTAATGGTCACATATATCTATCGTGTAGCGATTCACTTGGGTTGGCCAACACACTTGTGAGCCCTAGATTACGCATTTTGAATCGTTGAAGTTTAAACGAACAACCAAATTAAATGTGTTAATTTAATTGAAACTGTTAAATTTAAACAATCGTTTTTACTCAATAGTGTTATAATTGTTATTATTAATTTATTTATCGGCAGTTCAACTCGTGTGTTGGTGAAATATTTCACTCGGATGTAACATGTCAGTGTGTTACAATAATTTTCATATTTAATTATATTATCATATTTCAAATCATTGCTCTCAAAATGTTTTTTAATTTTACCGGTAGATTTAAATCATAGAGACACACGATCACGGTTTATAAACGCATGCCGTTTAATGTGTACTTAAGTGTGTACTGGCATATACAACAACATACTTTATATTTGTCGTTGGGACTAAATGACTCTTTACGGAACTGTTTATGACACGGTTTCTCCGAGACCTATTAAATTTAACTTACAAAATTTTATCTGTATCCGTCCAACGACACAGTCCCAAAAGCCCATTAGCGTAACAGAAAATAGCCGTTCAACTACTCCTTCACCAAAAAGGATCTGATATCAACACTGTTTAAAGACACCAATCGTTCCTCTATTCGTAAAAACGATAGACGTAGTACACGAGTATATTTATAGTACGTTATTGCAATAGTTTCTTTCGATAGTCACCTTATTACTACCGCATTACTAGGCTACTTAAAATCGGAGTACTTACATACTCAACCACTGCGATATCATTATTGTTGTATGGATTTCACACGCAATAAAATAATCCGAAAATATTATATGTTTTATTTATTATATATTGTATAGTGTACAATGTATACACACTTTTACGGTACGGATATACAACTAGGATGAAATATTATTTTCTATTTAATTTAAAAGAATTTTGACATCGAGAAAATTAAGATGCATTACTTAACATCTGAATATTATCAAAATGAAAAAACGTTTCTTGTGTAGTCCTCGTACTGTTTGTATTATTTTATAATTATTTTATAATTCATTCATATATTTCATTTTTCTCTCGTCCAATCTACCGTCGGTATTCTTTAATAAATCTTCGTTATTTTTCATTTATGTTCAAACAGTTTTCATAAAATCATTATCAAATTTATTTATGGATATCTGTTTATTACGGGTGTTACACAACGTAAGGAAAAAAAATCAAATTCAAATTCATGACCATTACTAATTTGCTTATTTGTTAAAAGGAAGTGTTGGAAATTAAAATTTTTGTAAACTAACATAGTATTCCGTAGGGATTAACTTTGATGTCTTTAATGCATACATAGATAGATATGTTTTCGTTGTTATTTTAACTAAAATTATTGGATCAATGAAATATATTGAGGACATATAATTCGAATACAGCAGAAATTCCTTGACATGTATTGTTATTACTAAAAGCTTGTAGAAAATATTGTACAGCTTAAATGTATTTTATTTTTTTATGACAAAACTTGGGACGATTTATTCTCTTGCGTAATTAGCGTAAATTATACAATTTCGTTGTACTTAAATACATAATTAAATAATGTCTAGTACATTAAAAACCAGACCGATGCTACGTAAATGTTATGAGATGTTAATAAAATAGTCACTTAACTTTCTTACTGCGGTGGGGAAATGAGAGTGAAATTTAATAATAAATGACGATGAATCTCTGTGACTCGTATACTACGCTTTTGCAATTCGTTACTATTATTGTTATTATTATTGTTCGCAACTTCACTCCGATCATTTCGAGGGCTTCGGTTGAGGATAAATTATTTTACTTGACACCAATCGTGACACGTTGTCGATAACATGTATAACATACGCTTATGGTTTTGCGGAACAACATCGGATACGGACAAAAAACAAAAAAATGTACGTAACCGTACGTATGGTAATGATTTGTTACACAAGTAGTCGAAACGGAAGCCTACGACGGAAACCAGGGTCGGTGCCGGGGCAGAACATGACGACCGCGCACGAACAGGTGTCGCGAGACTTATCGATAACAACAGCTAGAACAAAACCGAATGCACCGGCGTGCCGAACCCACACATTTTATGCGCGAAATAATGATTTCAAAAACAATACACGTATTGTGTTTTTTACTACGGGACAAGAGCGGCAGCGGGCATTGTGCACCGCGTTCAATTTAACAACAATAATAATGATGAAAACAAAAATTAACAATAATAACGATAATAATAATAATAATAATAATAATGCCGACGACGATGCGGCCGCGGTTCGCGGGGTGTTTACGATCGATATCCGAGTTACGGTGTTTAACCCGCTCGATGTTTATTACGTTCTTCGGCGTTTCACGTGATCGTCGTTTCACGTGCGCGTGTTGTTATAGGTTAGGTTTTTCGCGCGGAGGACGTACGCGTTTCGGAAGACAAGAAGCTGCCGGCAACAACGGACGGGCGTCGCGAGCTCGCGGTGAAAGGGTGACGGCGACGGCGTAGGGTGGCCGGTTTTCGCGCACTGTTATTGTTGTACTACTCGGCTAAGCGCTGACGCGCGCGCGCACGCGCGCACGAGCCAGCGCGCGAAGGGACTCGCCGGTCCCGCCGGCGCGGCACGTCCTTTGCAACGGTCATGCGCACGAGTGGCCGTTCGATCCGCCGCCGGTACCGATGATGACGACGACGCCGCCGCCGCACGACGGCCGTCCGCGCTTTCCGCGTTGGCGGCCGGTCCCCAGTACGCGACGACACACGCACGCGGGCGGCTCTCTCGTGTGACGGGGCGCGAACATCTACAGCACACACGTACGCGCATACGTTACGATACGCGCACGCACGCACCGGGTGACAGCGAGCACCGCTGATCGCGACCAGTGAATCGAAATCGGCCGCACGTTTGTCGGTGTCGTTCGTCGCACGCGTACACCTATCGCCGGCACCGGTCGCAAACCGTTCTCCAGCTCCGTTCCTCTCTCGCGACCCGACCGGTGTCCGCACATCGTCCGCGACCGACGTACGCCGCCGTACCGCTCTTCGCGTTCCATGTAAACGGCCGCGGGGGTACTCGCGCGCGACCCGGCCGGCGGGAAACACCGAGATGCGGCCGGCCGCTGCTTTCGGTAAACCGTTTACTTACCTGGCGGCGGCGCCGCCGCCAACGCCACCTCCACCGTCGTCATCAGCCGGTGCTGCTGACCATCGCCAGTCGCAGCCGCCGCTGCAAACGCCGGTGTCCGCGTCCGTCTTGCACACGTTTAAGGGTACCACTGCGGTCGCCGTCAACACCACCACCACCATCGGCGGTGGTGGCGGCGGTGGCAGCAGTGGTGCTCCGACACCACCGGTCAGGACGTCCACCGCCGCCGCCAAACAGAAACCGCCACCGGTGCCGCCCAGAGGCGAACAGACTCGGTTGACGACGGTGCCGGCCAAGAAACCTGCGGAACCGGTGGTGCAGTCGGCCAAGAAACCGCCCGAGCCTGTTGTGGTACCGTCCGCCAAGATATTGGAACCGGCCGCGGACACCCCGTTACCGCCTCCACCGCCCCCGCTTTCGCCACCACGGACGATCGTTTCGTTGGAAAACTGTTCTTCGCCGGATCGTCCGCCATCGCCGCGGACGGCAACGGCCGAACCGGACGAAGACCTGTCCGCTTCGGCGTTAATCAGCAAGTTCGAAAACGGATGCGCCGTCAAACCCGCGGTGACCGCCACCGCGGCATGCGATCACAGGCCTCCCGTGGAAGTAGACTCGGGCACATCCACGTTGGCCGAGATCACGGACGACGACGAGAACGGCGTTGGTGGTGGTGATGACGACGACGACGACGACGACGACGATGACGGTGCCGCGGACATATGGGTGCGGACCATCGAGTCCCCTGTGAAGAACATGCACCCTCAAAAGGTCCGACACCATTCGGACAGCGCGATAAAGGCGGCCTCGGCCGTTTCGTCGTCACCGTTGGCCGAGAAACGTGGCAGCCTGCCGGCGGACGCGATGGCGGCCGCCGAGAAGAAGAGTTCGCCGCCGTTATCCGTCAAAGATTCCACCTACAGGTCATCGTTCCGGTCGTCGGCCGGAAACCGGTGTTCTTCGCCCGGCCTCGTCAACAACCAGCAAAACAAGTCGTCGTCCGACACCGGTGCCGGCCGGAAGATCACCGCCGCCGAGGCGCTCGGCGTGGTGGCCAAACCGTGCCCGCGAATCCTGCCGTCGTCCGCGTCCTTGGACGCGGCGTGCCGGCGCCAATCGCTTGGGAATCTCGCCGAGTCCAGGTTCGGCGCGATGCTCTCGTCGTCGGTGCGTTCGTCGTGGGCACCACCGTCCGGCGTCCAGACGGACGTGGAGTCCACGCAGAGCGAGCCGTCGTTCGATTACAGACGGAAGAAGTTCACGAAACGGTGTTCGAGCGCGGACGGCCGGAATCCCGTGCACCATCACCACCATCACCATCACTATCACACGCTGTCCAGCACGCGGGTGACGGCGGCCCGGGATCCGGACTTCGGTGCCAAACGTGCGTTTATCCAGGAAAAGCTGCAGGCTGCCAGCACCAAACTGCAAAACGCCGGTATTGTGCCGTGCGGGCTACCGCCCACGCCGCCGCCGCCGCTTGCGTACCAGCAGCAGAACGGCGGCGGCGCCGACTGTGGCAGACCGCCGCGGTCGTCGTCGTGCAACTGCGGCCAGCACCAGGCCACGTCCAGGCCCATGTTCGTCAACAAACGGACCGTTTCGGCCGAAGATTTGCTGCCACCGCCGGCCACCGTCACGGTGGCCGAGCCCGACCGGTTCACCGCCGCCGGCAGGCCGGTGTCCACGTCGTCGTCCTCGTCGTCCGGTGGCCGCGGTTCGTTCGGCCGATCGCAACGCGTCACGTTCGCCCTCGATCAACACCAACAGCTGTTCGGCTCGTCCCAGCCGCCGGGCGCCACCGCCGAACCGACTGCACCGTCGGCCATCAAAAAGCCGTTCAAGAGCAATTTAAAAGTCAAAGAAGCCGTCCCCGAACTGAACGTCCTCGGCACCAGTGCCATCAACACCCGGTTGCCGCCGCAACACCCGCACCCGTACGGGCTGCCGTACAAGCTGCCAGTGGTCAACACTGACGTATTGCAGGTTGTACATAATGTTATTTTCGTACGATGATCTATAGTTATTAGTTATTAGTTAGTGGGGTGAGAAATTGTAGAATACTTCTCTCGGCGCACGGAAAATTAACTTCAACACGTGACAATAATGTATCGTGTGCAACGAACGCCAATAGTTAAAAAAAAAAAAAAAACACGTTAAGATACTGCAGCCAAAATATTATGTGCGTAAATATGTTAGCGAACGCTTTTAAAGTATTTGAACTGTACGCTAGGAGTGCATAAATCAATTGCTGCAGCAGAGGGTCTCAACGTTTACCCTTTCGCACGGGATCCGAAACGCTTTAAAGTTATGGCATTTCGCGCGCAGATATTATATATATTGTGCATTAGAGGATTATTTTACTATCAGGTTCGCGTATCTTAGACCGATAGATCGTTTACATTTTGTGTCTATTCCCGAAATCATCTAAAACACGAATCGCTGAACGAATTATGAATTCGAGACTAGATGGGCGTTTTGTTGTTTTTTATTTGATGGTGGTGGTACAAATACTCCGTAGGTTCTAATATTAGATTTAACGTGGTTATTTTTCTATGTTTTACGTGTGCCCCATGACGCCTGTACGTAGTAGTATTGTCACGCACTCGCGCAGAGATAAACGAAACACGATCGATGCGTATACGCGTAGTGTATATATTTATACGTGTAAACACTCGACTTTTGAAACGTTATAAAGTTGTTAAGACTTTTTTAAAGCGTATTATCGCAGTCTGCTCTGCACAGACCCGTTAAAAAGTATTCAACGCGACAGCACGCGTCGCAATCGTATTTATCGGTGTGTACTTCGAGCGGGAACCGCTTTCATGAGCTGTAAAGAACGAATTATTATGGATAAATAGGTAGTCATAAAACATATGTAAATATAAATATGAAAAGGAGAAATTGATCTTATGTATATATATACCTACCTCTCTATGATGAAAATATGCTTTTCATCGTGTATTTTAAGTACAGCCGTAAAAAAAAAGTTTCTTGCGTACCGTTGAAAAGATTTTTTTTTTTTTATTTTTTTTACTTAAACAAAATTTATGTAAACCACTCGGATTCGTAAGTTTGAAACACGCTCCGTCTTTTACCGACCAAATATTTGATATATCTAAATTCTCAATAATATGAGTATATCGAAAACCAAATTTACCCGTTTCATACGCAGTATAATTAATTAATTTATAAAATTTAATGTAATTACGTCGTTATGTGTAAATGCATGTAAATTGTACATTACGACGTAGTAATAACTATACTATATAATGATGTCCACGTGAATAATTATATTACAAAATTGTTATAACAAACAGTAAAAGATTATCTTCATATACTTATGCAGAAAACAATATAAATGGAGATATGAATGTGTCTCTACCTCCGTACAAACGTACACAACGGACAATATTTCATAATTAGTAGTAATGATATTCTTAATGAAAAAAGAACGAACACGTTTCAGACTAACTTTTAGACGTTTTAGGTATTGTCAGACATTAAATTTGATAAAATCATGAATGATAGGCTTAGGTACATACGCTTATTATTGATAAGTCTTCTTTAATATTTTTTCAACCCTTAGACATGCGAAATAGTTTGATATCTAACATTTGTTATTTTTCTCAAACGGAACATAGTATTAATTATTATCTTAGTCTTTATTATATTTTCACCAATACTAAATCCTTGTACCTATATATGAGTAGTAAAATAATTAAATTATTCAAAATAATATAATATAATGTAATATGTTAATTTAATACATTTGTAATTACTTTGGTTTATCTATGCGTAACTCGTTTCAAACTTCATAGTAAAAATTACTGATATTGCAAAAAAATATCAAAAATTGAATTTGAATGAGTGAACCATTTTTAATTATATGATCATTTCTTTAGGATATTAATGTCAAATCAAGCTTAACAATTTACAGACAAGCGATGTATAATTTTTAATGTATGATTGAAGAAAAATCTGGACAATAGGATGTGTGTTAATTTTTTTTCGATTGTATTCATAAAATAAGTTTTAAAAATGATAATGACTGAATTTTTATATATTATATAGAAGATAGTAATAACGGTTATCTACGACGTTCAACTATTTAAAACTAATTATATTTGATATTCTATTTAATTTTAACATTACATATTCCACCAATCACGAGTAGGTACTCCATGTTCTTTATAAATGAGTATGGCTTATGTTTTTTATTTGTTGGTTTACAAAAAACAAATAGTGAGTATTTCACAAGAATTATGGAGCAAACATTTTTTTAAACAAACGACCCCATTTTTCATCCCTAACAAAATGTCGAGTCCTATTGAATAATACCCATGGTATTTTTAACTGTAAATACAAGCATTCATTACATTGTGTTGTTTGGTTTACGAGTGCTCCGATCTTTTATTTATATAATATACATGCTTACCAAATACCAATACGTACCTATATTATATAAATATATACAATAATGTATAGGTGTGTTATTTTCCACGTTGTTAATATTTTTCGATCGACTTTTCATATTATTGTCTGTTCTTAAAAAGTAAAAACTAAATATTAAAAAATTATGTTATTTAATGAAAAGGGGCTGCAAATGTAATACATTGCAAAGTATCTATGTATGCTACGTAAGACTAAGTTACACTTTAAATTTTTTTTATTCAAGCATATTTATTTATACTAAATATGTATTTTATGGGTGTGTACATTATAATATCTAACTTAATATTAAACTTATTAAAATATTAAATTTCATACTAGATTACTGTTAGTTAAGTGTTTATGATTCACCAACTTATATTAATATAATAGAATACGTTAGTAAATTATTTCTTATGTTTTCTGTCTAAAACTAATTTTTGTCAAAAACAAACAAAATACATTATCATTTATTCATACCGTGAGTGGTTGATATTTAATTATGAGTGGTTGTAACGTAATAACGTAATGAAATATGTGATGCTTCATTATTTTTATAATTAACAAAAAGTTTTTACAAGTATTTTTAAATTTAATTAGAACATAAAAAATACCTGTAATTTTTTATTAGACAGCTTACGTAATCATTTAATATATTTTAACAATAGGATATTTATCTATTTTACTAATATTTAAAATATAACAAGATTACGTAGTATATTCCCTAAATTATAAGATAGTTATTTTAATGAGAGGAAAGTAATATTTTATAAATTATAAACTTTAAAAAACTTTAATTTGATTACATGGTTTTGTTTAATTGTTATAATATTTAGAGAAAATATTTTCTTATAAACTTTAAAATAACACATTTTTTTTATACTTTTTTGAGTTATTATTAAAACTTAAAGAATAATAAATCTCCACAATTCAAAAAACAAAATAAATTAGTATTAGAATTTTATTTGAAGTTTAAAATAAAAACACTTGTTAAATAACTACACGAAAAAAATAATTAAGTGTGTAATATATATACGAGTAATATGTAATTTAGTATTTGCGTGTTAATTTTTAACTAAACGTCTCTAAATATCAAATACGTATATGTAACTAAGTATAAATAATCCATACTATTTTATTTATTGTAAGCAATTTGTGTTTTATTATAAAAATGTTAGAGCTTAGGTAATAAAATGCTAGACTTTCGAGTATATGTTCATTCGTTTTAAAATAGTATGTAATACATATTATGATTATACAACTATGGAATTTGAAATTTTATAAGTTTTTTTTTAACTCCACATATTTGAGTTTTTCAAAACCTTTTTTATACATGGAATTATAAAAGTTATTTATTTTTAACTTATAAATTCCTGCACTTATCTTATGTGATTATATAATTAAGAATCTCGTGTCATAGATATACGTTCATTATTTTTACAGTTATCATAATTCTGTCTGGAAAAACATTCCTTCGTGACTTGGCCTAAGTGGTTTGCAAATAAAAGAATGAAAAAATAAACTCGTAACTAGAAATAGAGAATTAAAATAATAATTCTTAAATAATAAATGTACAAGTTAAAACTAACATAGTATGTTCCTGTTATTAAGTAAAAATTTCAATATTTTTTTTATAAGTAACGATTACTTAAATGTAACCTAAATATAATATTTTAAATTTAATTGTTGCAGTCTGTATAAATGAATACTTAATAAGTTGAATATAAATAAATAAAGTCTTAGATAACGATGGGAAAGAAGGACAATCAGTGACAGGATCAATTTTTGAGTAAATTTTAATGATTCATTGAACATGATCTAGAAGAATTGTAAAATATTCAGACACAATACACGATTTTTTAAACAGTGAGGGCAGTTGTCAGGTATCGTGAGAATTGGCATTAGATTAATGGATTTGAGTGGTCCTGGACTGGAGTTTTATGAAATGAGATTTAATTAATTGTCAACATTTACAAAATCAAGGTCCTTGTAGAAAGTGTGGTATAAAACAAACCAAAGGACAGGAGTAATTTGGCGTCAGGACATTGTTCGAAAATACTTAATTGTTTTCAATTGGGTTGATTCGGTTCAACCCCAAGATCGGGTACCATATATCCAAATTAGTCTTAAAATTGACTTAAATAAATTTAAGTGTGAAGTTATAAATGTGTTATAAATGTAAAGTTAATTTTATAGTGAAAGTTTTGATTTTAAATGGGTCCTAACTGGTAAAATCTTGCATTTGATTACTTTCTTTTTAATTTTATGTTAGAATCTCAAGTTAATCAATGAAAATATATAATTTGAAGTATTCAAGCACTGTGGTTGTGTGAAGTTTGAGTTGATAATATATATTTTGTATTAATTTCATTGACTTTGATATTTCTTATTACCGGTGAATTATTTATTTTCGTATTCACTGCTGCCGGTTAATAACAGGAGGGTTTGGAATAAGAAGATAATTTACTTATTAATTAATGAGAGATCATTTTAACAATAGTTAAAATCATCTAATTTATCGAGAATGCAAGTTGAAGAATAACTAGAATATGTAC